CTCGCCATAGGCCGCTTCCGACACCTAGCCATCGCTCCCCCCACGACACCTCGCCATCGGCCGACACCTCGCCATCAGCCGCCCCCTCAGTGGTATACTGAGCTTTGGGTGAAGGGAGGACGCTAGTTTGTGTCCTCCCGTTACCCTTAGGAGAACTATGGGGAAAAGCCCTGACCCCATAGTTCTCCTTTAAGGCTTCTGAATCACATAACTGGATTTAGGGACTTGTTTAGACGTCATACAGGAGCCTTTAGTTGTCCTTTAAGAGTTTCAAATACAACAGCAATCTCCAGGCAGGAGCCACGTCACCTGGGGTAATATGGCGGGGTTGTACAGGGCCATTGAGTATGTAGGAGCTATAAAGTAAGACACTTTAGAATTCTCACCGAGGAACCATGGAATATTCCGGCCTCTTAGTGTCCGTTACCTGTTTCCTGTCGGTTTCAAGTGATTCACGTCGTCTTGGAGCGTGTTATTGATTGCAGCTCAATTACCTTCTTTCTTTAACTAGCAAGCTGGGGTGTCTGTTCCGCCTAATGCAATAAGCGTCGGCGGCCGTTTTTCTCGCCAGCCGCGCGCGTAATTAATGAGAGCGCGTTCCAGGAGCGGCGGTCATTTGGACGAGGAGCTGTCTGGATGAAGAGCTCACCGGAGACGTGTTCTGCTCCGGAATTGGATGTTCTATGGAGGTGGTCCGGGAAGGGGTTCTCCATACACAATGCGCTGCTACTCGTTGGTGGGATTGATGGGCGTTGTGGGACCAGCTCGGCCTTTGTGCATGAAGGCGATCGATAAAGCTTGTGCGGCGCTGGGGCCGCTCCGGAGAGATGCCTTGTACGCAATGTGTCCGACAACAGAGAATTTAAGATAACGATATCTGCACTCAGATTGTGATCTTCATCTTTGGGGACACAATGTGGCTTGGATGCCAGATGATGCTTTCTGAGGGATCCATCGTCTTTTAGGGATGCACCGATACCGGTTTTTCGGTAGTGAGTAGGAGTACTGATATTTTGCTGTTGGTACTCGCCGATACCGCTGCTTCCGTTGGCATGGAGCCAGCTTCCCGGGCAATCAAGAAGCCGGCCAACGGGTAAGGACACGCCGTCCGGCTTCCTGATTTCTTGGGAAGCCAGCTCCATGTTTGCTGACTCGCTGCTGATTGGCCAAGAAACCGGCTTCCCAGCCAATCAGCATGGAGTCGGGTTCCCGGGCAGTCAGGAAGCCAGGCGGTGAGTAATGACCCGCCTCCCGGCTTCCTGATTGGCTTCCTGAAACCAGCTCCATGCTGATTGGCTGGAAAACTGTCTTCCCAGCCAATCAGCATGGAGCCGGCAGGGAAGGTGGGTCCATGTTCCCCTAGGGCACTGCCGGTCAGAGGAAATCTTCCTCTGACCAGAAGTTCCGGTATCGGAGCATTTGGCCGAGTACGAGTACTCGCCCTAATACTCGGTATCGGCACTGATACTAGTATCGGCATCGGTGCATCCCTAGTCTTTATACAATTTCTGACCTACAATGAATGGGCAGCGAGAAAAAAGGCGTCCCTCAAAATGTTTCTGAAGTGTTGGCCACTATGTACTGTGTCTCTATGCAGAAGTGTCCATCTTGGTAGTGGAACGGGGTTTTCTTCCTCATGTCAGAGCCTCCAGCAAGGAGAACAGTGAGCAGCATAGTAATGACATCACCAAATCTACCTCCAAATCTGGGGAGACCAACAGTCAGAGGGAGCAGTGGCATAGGTGATCTCACACTGCAGATATACAGCTATGAGGCTACATAACAGGAGTGCCTAGACACAGGAAGGGCTCTGGTATTAGGAATGCCTAGGCACAGGAAGGGCTCTGATATCAGGAGGGCCTAGGCACAGGAAGGGCTCTGATATCAGGAGGGCCTAGGCACAGGAAGGGCTCTGATATCAGGAGGGCCTAGGCACAGGAAGGGCTCTGATATCAGGAGTGCCTAGGCACAGGAAGAGCTCTAATATCAGGAGTATCTAGGCACAGGAAGGGCTCTGGTATTAGGAATGCCTAGGCACAGGAAGGGCTCTGATATCAGAAGTGTCTAGGCACATGAAGGGCTCTGATATCAGGAGTGCCTAGGCACAGGAAGAGCTCTAATATCAGGAGTATCTAGGCACAGGAAGGGCTCTGGTATTAGGAATGCCTAGGCACAGGAAGGGCTCTGATATCAGAAGTGTCTAGGCACAGGAATGGCACTGATATCAGGAATGCCTAGGTACAGGAAGGGCTCTGATATCAGGAGTGTCTAGGCACAGGAAGGGCACTGATATCAGGAGTGTCTAGGCAGAGGTAGATCACTGATATCAGGAATGCCTAGGCACAGGAAGGGTACTGATATCAGGAGTGTCTAGGCACAGGAAGGGCTCTGGTATTAGGAATGCCTAGGCACAGGAAGGGCTCTGATATCAGGAGTGCCTAGGCACAAGAAGGGCTCTGAAATTAGGAGTGCCTAGGCACAAGAAGGGCTCTTATATTAGGAGTGCCTAGGCACAGGAAGGGCTCTGATATTAGTAGTGCCTAGGCACAGGAAGGGCTCTGATATCAGAAGTGTCTAGGCACAGGAAGGGCTCTGATATCAGAAGTGTCTAGGCACAGGAAGGGCTCTGATATCAGGAGTGCCTGGGCACAGGAAGGGCACTGATATCAGGAGTGTCTAGGCAGAGGTAGAGCACTGATATCAGGAATGCCTAGTCACAGGAAGGGCTTTGATATCAGAAGTGTCTAGGCACAGGAAGGGCTCTGATATCAGGAGTGTTTAGGCACAGGAAGGGCTCTGATATTAGGAGTGCCCAGGCACAGGACCCGCGCGGTCGCATGAAAGTTCTCCATAGCAATGTATGGGATTGTTCAAGTCTGCGCGGCCAAGCGGTGTGAACGGGGCCTTAAACATAGAAAATCTTCACTGTTTGAGTTCGGGGAGATCTGACTTTAGACGCGGCGCACTCACGGAATACGCGGACCTGTTTGCTGCGCTTCGCTCCTCCAGCTCTGGAATTGTGCTATTTCTTTTTCTCTATAGCGCTTTGTGTCTAACCCCCAGAAGCCGTAACAGCAGGCAAACCCGCCCTGTGCGTCTGTCACAGCGCTGCACAATGCTGATGCTCCTTTCAGAGCACATGGCGAATTGTCATAGAATACGGCTAACAATGGGCTCTCCGTCCCCTCTAACCTCCTCCCTGGTATTCGGGGCTCCGGTACAATAGGCGGCCGACGGCCCTTCTGGTAGAATGAGAGTTTTCTGCATTGTGGGATATCTATTGTATTCTGCCCCCTGCTCTGTGTGTTGCCAGGCCGGTGACATGACCCCCCGGCTGGGTCAGTCGGGGTCTGCAGGCACCCGGTACACAGTATTATCACAAACACTTCCACGCTATGAATATCTAAGCTGATTGTAATGGTGCATTTGAAGCATCGTTCTCCCCCCGTACTCGGCACAGAGCCCCTCGTGCCCTCCATGTCTTGTAGGCTGTGATTTCTCAGAGGTGCCTAATATTGGTCACTGGCAGGGATGCACCTATTCCGTAATCATACTCGTGAAAATACCCCAAAATCGCAGCTTTACATTTTTAAACACAAGCGGTTAACGTGAGGTTCCGCACTTTCTGGGGACTTCATGGCAGCCTTCCGAGACCTTGCAGTGCTGCTTAGATGCTTCGCCTCGCGTACCCATCCACCCTGCTGAGACGCTGTGGACCCCTCCTGAGACCCTGGGCACCACTGCTGAGACCCTGCAGTCCCGTCTTGAGACCCTGGGCACCCATGCTGAGACCCTGCGGACTCCTCCTGAGACCCTGGGCACCCATGCTGAGACCATGGTCACCCTGCTGAGACCCTGCGGACCCCTCCTGAGAGCCTGGGGACCCCTGCTGAGACCCCTCCTGGGAGCCCCTGCTGGGACACTGCAGACTCCTCCTGAGACCCTTGGCACCCCTGCTGAGATGCTGTTGACCACTCCTGAGACCCCGAGCCCCACTGCTGAGAAACTGCAGGCCCCTCCTGAGACCCTGGGCACCCCTGCTGGGATGCTGCGGGCACCTTCTGAGACTCTGGGCACCCCTGCTGGGATGCTGCGGGCACCTTCTGAGACTCTGGGCACCCCTGCTGGGATGCTGTGGACCCCTCCGGCAAACATGCAAATATCAAAATGCCTTGATGGGTGTCAGTCTGGAGGAGTGTGTGTTCCTAGGCTGCATTTGCATGCAGAACAACCTAGGTGAAGCCCACATGTGAAGTTAAGCCCCATGATTGAAAGAACTGAAAT